AGGAATGCATGGCCTGTGGGGTGCAGCATGGCCAGGTCCATGCGATCAACACCTGTGGAGCAAGCACCCAACAGAGGGAAGAGAGGCAAAGGAGGCAGTTCCTGGTCAGGACCAGCAACAGCAAGCCTGCTGTGCTGCCCAGACGCTCCACCCACCATCACAGCAACTTAAGTTGCTTCACTTAAGTGTCAGGACTCCGAGGTATGAAACTCAACCACTGGCCTGGACTTTGCGTAAGACTGGCATGGCGGAGCCAGGCACTGCGCTCCCAGCACAGGTGCTCATACCTGGAGGGCATCTCAGCAGGTTTCCCATGCTTGCTTCTCCCTCCAGCTCTGGCCAGTGAAGAGAAATTCTTAGTCCGTGAGATGCACCAGAAAAATTCCCAGACCACCTCTATCCTCTGCAGACTCCCAACAACGGCTTTTCTAGTCCACATGGTGCTCGAAGACAGTCTCGGTCCCACCTGCCCCTGCAGCAGGCACCAAAGGTCCTTCTAGCAAGGACCCGATATCCGTCGGTCACCTGAGAGCCAGCATGTGGCCTCACCATAAGAGTGGATGGGTCACATGGCAAGCCCAGAAGAAATACAGTTCTGATCCACTGCAGCTCAGATTATGCTGGCTAACGCTATCCTCTGTGCTCTGTGCAGAAAATATCCACCACCAACCCCTGCCCACAAATCTGTTTAATCTTTGAGCAGGCTTCTTACCCCTGAGCAGATAAACCCAAAAGATCTTCCTTCATACTACAGCTTCACCAAAGTATACACAACTCCCCATGCCTTTCCTTCTGTGTCCCAGCCCCACAGTTGGCACTCTGCAGGACCAGTCAGATGTACAGCTGGGGGAAGGATCAGCTCAGTCTGGGGTAGGGCACCACAAACACCAAGCCTTGCTGGTGTTCCAGAATGGGAACAGGGTGGCCAGCAGGGGAGCAGCCCTGCAGGGAAGTGCCCCTGGAACAAGACACCTTCACCCCATAACAGGCCATTTGAAGTATCAGTATGTTGAGGGATCTTCCTTTAGTCTACTCTTGTGGAGGGGCAGAGGAAGAACAGACTCCAGCTTGGCAGACCAGGCAGCATGGGGAAGGTTGGGGAAAGGCTTTGTGAAGGCAGTGCATCTAGCCAGGGACTGAGCAAAGCTATCCACCA